CAACTTGGGTGGGAGTGAAGAACCTGGACAAGGCAAGTCTCTAGAAAACCTTCCAATTCAAATTATTCGATCTTATTTTTTCTTTTTCTTCCTTCCTTTCTTTCTTTCTTTTTCTTTCTTTCTTTCTTTCTTTCTTTCTTTCTTTCTTTCTTTCTTTCTTTCTTTCTTCTCTCTCTCTTTCTCTTTCTCTCTCCCTCCTTCCCTCTCTTCCTCCTCCCTCCCCCCTTTTTTTTGTCAGTACTGGGATTGGGGATGGAACTCAGGTCCTGAGCTTGCTAGGCAAACTATCACTTGAGCCATGCCCCAGTGCCTTTTGCTTTTTAGTTTGCTAACTTTTGCCTTTTGCACGGGCTAGCCTTGGACAGCAATCCTCCTACCTCCACATCTCAAGTAGCTTGTATTATAGGTGAGTCCACCTTTGTATCCTGTTTTTCAATTTGTGGCTTAGCAGAAAACAGTCCCCTTTTAGAACGGTATAAACAGTTGCTATAGAGCCATGTATCTTGCCAAATGTTCTGAGACTCTCTTTACAATGTGTCTCCCATTATGATATGTTAGGAACTCTTAAATACATGGCTAACTATTTGCTCAGGGGGAAGCTGGAGGGTCAGCACATGTATCATCTCTAATGAACAGACTTTTGAGTCTAGGCCTGAAGATTAGTGCATGAAGTTTAGTATCATGGCTGGTATGGAGGTAGAACCAAGTAAGGGCTATTACTATTTGAAGAATGTTATGATTTACACATTGCAATGCTTTGGAGGTGGCAGTAGAGGGAGCGCAGTCAATGGAACTAGACTTGAGAAAACAGTAAAGCCATCCTACAAAATTTGTCTCTGTTATGGTTAATCATGAGCCACTGCACCCAGGTGAGTCTGTAAGACCCACACCAGATTATTTTGTCCCAATAATCTTTGCTATATGAGAATGGGCATGGAACCCTTTCTGTGGCTTATTTGCCAGGGGGAACATCCTACCTCTCTTGGCATCCCTTCACCACCATTTGCCTATCTGTACAGTGGATGGGGGAGGGGTGGGGAGGAAAGGTATAAGGTTAACCTCATGACCTCCAATGTTCTTCAAAACTTAATTATTATTCTACTACTAACAGCTATGTTTGATTGAGCATTTCCTCTCAGCACATTACTAACATTAGATATTCCCATCAATTTTTTGTGGGATATAATAACCCTATTTTTTTATAGACAGGAAGTTTGGGACTCAGAGAGTTCAGGTAACTTATCCAATATTGTACTGTGAGAAACTGGCACCCTATAGCTAGAGTCTACTTTTCCAAAAGTCTATAACCTGGAATTTCCCTCTTTGGATGAGGCAACAAAAACTTAAGTATTGGGTTTATAACCAGGAAATTGGGGACTCTTTTAGAGGAGAGAGAGGAATCTGTGGGGCCTTTGAGTTTGGGAAACTTTATAGGAAATTCATTCTAGCAGTTGGCTTGTTTTGCTTTAGATTTCTTTTTTTCTTTGGCTGTGAGGGACTGGCGGACCAGGGCCAGTAGAGGGCCAAAAATTGAGGACTTTGTTTAGACCTGATTCTAAGAAAGAGAAGCAAGTGATGGCCTTTCTAAGATGCCTGGGTAAGTTCATGAAATGGAGAGACAAAGGTTCAAGATAAATGCTTCCACCAAAAATAAATTGTTCATTTAGGCAGAGATTCCTTCATGAAATACACCTCTGGGTAAACTGATGACAGGACAGGATATGTGGAGTGAGCAAAGGTTCTGTTTTTTGCAGATCCCTGAGAATGATCTCCAAGATCTTTGCAGTGAGTCTGAATGGTTAAACTACTTTTATAATAGTACTAATACAGTTTTGCCATTTCACAATGTTGGTATTTACACCAAAGACACCAAAGAAATGTTGGGCCAGGCACCATAGCTCATGCCTGCAATCCTAGGCACTTGGGAGGTGGAAGGTAGATGAATAGAAGTTTGAGGCAAAAATAAAATACTATCTCTAAGAACAAACTAGATGTGGTGGTGTATGTCTATAATCCCAGCTACAAGTAAGGTAGAGGTAGGAGAATTATAATCTGTGGCCAGCCATGCTCAAAAAGTGGCAAGACCCTATCTAAAAAATAACTAAAGCAAAACGAGCTGAGGGTGTGGCTCAAGTTGTAGAGCACTTGCATAGCAAATACAAGGCCTGAGTTCAAACTCTAGTACTGCCCAAATAAATAATAAAACAAAGCAATTTTGGGTAACATAGTTGGTGCATGAAGCAGTGGAGTAGTACCAAATGGCACTACATGTTATTGACTCTTCATCATCACACACTTAACACAAAAACTTAAGAATTCCAGTTTGATTAAAGAACATAATTGATGAGATGGTAAAAAGTGAATAATTTTACTGTGAGTCTCCAATCTTGAGGACATGTCTTTTTAACAATGTGCCTGACAAAATAGGAAGACATGTATGTAATCATGGAGGTTGTCTTGAGGAAAAGCACTTGTTTGATGTTTGAGTTGCCAAATTGAGCCACTTCAAGTATCTGTAGCCAAGGATGAAATTAAACCTCTTGAGCAAAAATTCGAATTTGGAAAGCTTGTATTCATCATCATGGGGGTGACAGCTCCCCAAAGCTTCACATGTTTTTTTGATGAGATCCATGTGAATTTCTGCTATTGTGTGATGACATGTGCAAGTATTTAGAGAATCTGCTTAATTCAGTGGACCAGTATTTTCTAAATGACCAATATGCCACAAAACCATGTGTGGGTAAAAGTTCCATTCAAAGTACAAGATAAACTAGTGGATTTTAATGTAACAATATACGTAAAGTTTATTGAGAAGGTTTCAGGTTCCACTATGCAGCTAAGCCTTAGGAAAGTGGTTAAGTTTGAGTGTGGCGTCAAAGAGTAACCATAATAACTGAAAAGAACCCACTGCCATTTTCCACCTGGACAGCTGAGTCAGTCTGGATTGACTTCAAACATTTTAACCAAAACAATATTTTACAACAGATGAAATGCAGAAGCAGATGTAAGAATACAGTCGTATTCTCTCAAGACAGATATTAAAGAGATTTCAAAATGTAAATTAATGCCACTCTTCTCATTTTTTTTGTATTGGAAGACATACTTGTTTTTTTTAATAAAATGTTTATTTTAACATATTATTGGAATTTCTCAGATTTAATTTTTAATACAGCAGTAAAAAGTCATACAGAATAGCAATACAAAAGTATTTTGGGGAGGTCATCAACCAGTATTAAAAAGGATAGAGGTGTCTTAAGACAAATGGTTTGAGAACAGCTGGGGGAGTCCCACCATGAGACCCTTCACAGGAGAAAGAGAATGAACTTCTGCCATGTGCAGCAGGCACTCACAGTTAAATACGATGACAAGGACAGGCAAAACCAGTATGACTGACACTCCAAGGCAGGAAGCAAAAAGTGTCAAATGAGCGGTTTTGGTCTGCTGTCCAATATGGTAGCCACTAGCCACATGTGGCTTTTAAGCACTTGAAATGTAGCCTGTTTGAATTAGGATGGGCTGTAAGTGCTGCATGCACACCTGACTTCAGAGATTTGGCATGAAATAAGAAATCTACCTCATTAACAATTTTACATTGATTTTTAAGCTAAAATATAAATATTCCTGAATATATTGGGTTATTTATATAGTATTAAAGGTAATTTAGTCTGTTCCTTTTCCCTGTTTCAATGTAGCTTTTAGAAAATTTCAAATTCTATCTGTGGTTTGCATTTTATTTCTCTTGGACAGCATTGGTTTGGGCAAGAAGATGATAGAAATTCAGGGCAGGAAAAAGTTGCTCTGGCTTCAGGTCCTCAGTGAAGTCTTCACCAGTGGGTGGGGTTTAATAGGGGGTGAGTTGGGGGGGCACTCCAGTTGAGGGGACATCAGGAGTGAAATATGACAAACAAGTCTGGACGGCAGAGGAGACTGGACTGGACTCATCATGGAGTGTAGGGGAGAACAGTTTGTGGCAGAGGTTGGGACTGAAACTAACCAGAATGCTAGACTTTCTCCAATAGGCAGTGACCACTTCACCAGAAGAAAATGAGACTTCATCCAGGTATTAGGGAATAGATGAATTTTAGGTACTTTCTTCACATGGGGAGACAAGCAAGACAAGCTCCTGGAACCTTCCCAGAGGGGAAGCAGCCAGGACTAGGCTTACCTGAGTAGTCAATTTAGAATGATAAAGTTGACTTCAAGGTTGCTTGACTTTTGGGGGCGGGGTAGAAATTAAGCACTTGATAATGATATCACCTGGGTTGGGGGGAGGAGAATCTGGAGGGCGCACCTGTGTGATGGCCAGTCAGAGCTAGTGGTGAGGCGTGTAATCAGAATGAGCCGTGCTTTCTACCTTTCTTCCAGTCTGCTTGTCTTCCTTTATTTTTGTCTTTATTTCACCGATCGTTTATAGAATTCTCACTATGTATCAAGCAGTTACCATCTTCTGATAACTGGGCTGAAAAGACCACTGACATGTGAATGGAAACTTGTAGGCTCTAATCTGGGCTTGGTGGCTAAATTTCACATTGAGTAACTCTGGCCGTTTCCACATGAAACAGAGTTTAGAACCTGGTGGGAACAAGGCTCCCTGTAGCTCTGTGATTCTAGAAGAGGTCTATGTCACAAGGGGAGAAGAACCTACCACAGCCTCCATGGGCAGGGCTATTTAGTGTAGGAGGATGCTGTCCAGCAAGGGCAGACTCTGTGACCTACACTAGAGGAAGTTGGCTTGAGCAGCCTGGGTTGAGGTGGTCCTCCTCCAAGATAGCAGAGCCTGCTGGAACTGGAGCACAGGGAGGTCTATGAGATTGGCTTGTTGACCCTGGCTACTCACCCCTTCCATTCCAGGGGCTGGCTCACCAGGGTGAGTGGACTTTGATACTAGGAAGACAGGGAGCCAAGGAATTTAGCTCCAGGTAAGTAAGTTTGTAGGTGATTTCAGGCTGACTGAGGAAACCACTGAAAAAAAATGAGTGTGTAGCCCCCCACTCCCAAACTTCTTCTGGCACCCTTCCACCTGCAGTTGCAAGAGTGGCTGACAGGGATAAAGAGGGAAGACGGCACCCTGCAAAGGGGCTTCATTCTCACTCTTCCTTTTAGTGTTTCTAGAATAGAGTGGGTGGGAACTGACTGAAGTAAAGTCCCAGAGATTCAAATAGTGACGCACAGGAAAGCCTCAAGTGGGTGGAGAAATGCAAATCCCCTCTGACATGGCGTCAGCGGCGGTGTCCCGGGGGCTGTGAAGGGCGATTCTGACTTTGGACTTGAGCCTGCGGGGACTTAGGCTGAGAGGGAGTCAGGTAAGCGGGGCAGAGCTCATTTTGGCGTGGCCTCTTCTCAGGAGGAAACGCTTGTGCGGGATGCTGCTGGGGCTTCGCCTTGCTCTTGGCATTGTGATCGGTGCTTCATTCTGGAGAGTGTGAGGAGGGTGATGGTCGCAACAGAAGGGTCCCCCGCGTAATGCCGGGGAAGCCTGGCGGTCCGAGAACCCGTGGATGGAGTGGCGGCTGGGAGGGGTGTCCACACTTGCGAGGGCTCAGGGTCAACCCTCTCCACTTTCTCAGCCCGCGCTAGAACCGGGATGTCTGACAAGAGTTTGGCAGAACAAGAGCCTGCAGTGAGGGTAGCTAGAGATTCTGGCTTTGCTAAGTGCGAGTGATTTTGTAGGGCAGATCTGCCCAGGGCTCAAAGAGCCAGCGCAGCACCACTGGCTCCCAGAAGGTGGAACCAAACGCCCCAAGAGAACAGACAGGCACCCAGCTTCCAGAAGGGGTGGGCAGGGTGTCTTGGCATAGAGAGCCCGTAGAGGCAAAGAAACATTTATTTCTAGAGGTTGCAATGCAGAAGAATGTCCTAGACCATTTATTCCTTATTTCTCTGGCCCCCCCCCCCATCCTTGAGTTCAGATCTTTGGAAAGGAGGCTCAGGACTCAGGTCTTAAAAGTGCTTTAAGATTTTCATCCGAATTACAGCAACAGTTTAACAAGAGTAGCAATTAGAATTGTAATGCTATTTCAACTCCGGTTTTTCATGTCATTATGAGAATAAATGATAGATCGATAGCAGGACAATGCTAATGGTGATGTGGAAATAGATACTCCAATTTTTGGGTGAATTCTAAGTACACAGTCTCTGGATAGTGTGACTGAGACAGACCTCAGGTCTGTCCTTGGGAACTGCACATCTTGGGTAGACATCATTTTACCTTTTTTTTTTATTTCATTATTAAAGTTGAGGTGATGCTTACTATCCACCTACTGGATTCATAGCAATGTCAGGAGTGTTGCTCCCTCTTCATTTAATAAGTATTTACTGAGCACTTACAGTATGCCTAGAGTAGTAAATGTGTGAAGGTCTGCAAATTATGAAGTAGTATACAAATTGAAGATCATCGCTTTTCCCACTTGCTTCCTCTTAGTAAAATGTCTGCCACAATTTTCTTCGTATACATTTTAGATCATTTACTGGAGCTCAAGGAAAAGATCCTAAAAATGGTTCCGTTTGAAACCTGAAGTATACATATATGAAATTTATTATCATGATGCTTTATAAGCAAAAGGAAACCTTAACTTAACCTTTGGGATATGTTTGAAGTACTATGTTGGTTAATCAGGTAAAAGTTTTCTTTGACCTAGTATTACTGATAAAACAGTAAGCATTCTACATTAAAAGGCAGTAAAAGGCTGTACTTTTAAGGAGACAATGTCACATCAATTTTCCTGAGTTAAGAAATATGCTGACAGCATCTGCACTGGCAGAATGGGTTGTGTGGGGGAACATATACTTTTGTATCAAATGTTTTTTCTTCCTTTTAAGTAACTTGAGGTTTACTTAAAGGTATTTGAGGTACTATCACATACAAACAAGAATAAAATTAAGAGTAGAATTTAAAAGCTTTGCCCAGTCATAGTGGATCACCACAGAGAGAAATAGAAAATATTTATTGGCTTAGAAGTACTTTGAACTGATAGAACTAGAACCCATGAAAATGCATGCATGAAATTCTTCAGGAAGCTACCACAGAATTAGATTGCAAGTCAGGAACATAAAGCTGACTCTAGAAGCTAGATAAATCTGAAATTTAAAAAAAGGACTTAGGCAGTTTTATGAAAAAGAAGATTCTGTGTGTGTGTGTGTGTGTGTGTGTGTGTGTGTGTGTGTGCATTCCTCATAAATAAAACCTTAGATGGACTATGGCAGGTGTAGTCAATGCTGGGTTGCCTTCAAGTTGCTCTGAGTCTAATAGTCTAGAAGAGAGCAAGGGGACAGGGAGGGAGATGGGTGAAAATACAGATTCCTGTAGAAAGTTGGGAGGCAGGATGTGGGGGTATTTGGGGGTTGTGAAAGCTTCCTGGAATAGGAGAATAGGAAGTTATGTCAGAGCAATAAAGGATGTGGCTAGGGGGCAGAGGAAGAAGGCTGTCTCCTTCATTAGGGATAACTTATGAAAAAAATCAGAGGAACTGCTGTATCTTTGACTTAAAAACACTTTTTTCTTTTCTGTTTTCTTTGAGTGACTATAGAAGTCTAGAACTTTTACTCCAGTTGCTTCACTAATGAGCAATAGTCATTAAAATCTAACGAAAGAAGAAAGTATGTCCTTAGCTATCAATCGATCATATTTTATAACTATAATTTTACTCCTTCTTTTATAGCATGTCTCAGTGGAATCAAGTCCAACAGTTAGAAATCAAGTTTTTGGAGCAAGTTGATCAATTCTATGATGACAACTTTCCTATGGAAATACGACATCTGCTGGCTCAGTGGATTGAAAATCAGGACTGGTAGGATCAAACCTTTTCCCTAGATGTTGATGTGTAATGCTTTATGTTTTGCCTGTGTGCACTTATCCTCTGTTCCACTTTTGTCTCAGTACATGCAGTCTTTTCAGGTGAACATCTTCAGGGTTTGGAAAGCCTTCTCAAAGGAGGGGAACCATTGTCCTTTCTGGTTTTGTCCTCTATAGGTGAAAAGCTTAACGATTTTAGTGCATTGTCTTTCTGTAACTCCCTCCCCAATTTTTTATGTGTCAAAAAGAAAAAAAACCAAGAAAACAAGAAGAAAATCTGTTATGTCAATTCTCTATCATAGACTCAATGTAAATGAACATTTTTTTTTAGGGGCTTCTGTTCCACTGTCTCTAGGAAGCTTTTAAACTCTTCCCCAAAACATTCCCTGTCCTGTCCCAGCAGTCTAATGAATTTGTATTATCAACAGGCTTCCTTGCTTCCTCTACCCAATTAGAACTTGAGCAACTAAAAGGCAAATAACACTCAGAATTTCCTATACTGAGCCTTTAATATGTGAGAAATACCCCCTAAAGCTGCTTTTAATGAAACTGCTCCATTCGCAAACATTCTGCCATGTTCTATTCACCTTGTACCATTGAATTTTCTCTTTAGCTTCAGTTATCTTTTTTTTTTAACTGTGGCAAAATAAATACAACATAAACTTTATCATTTTGAAGCATACAGTTCAGTGGCATTGAGTCTATTCACATGGTTGTGCAGTTATCGTCTTATACTTCTTCATCTTCTCAACTGTAGCTCTCTACCCATTAAACAGTAACTTTTGTTCCTCTTATGCCAGCACCTGGCAGCCACCATTCTATTTTCTGTCTATGAATTTGACTACTCAAGGTGCTTCATATAAGTTAAATCACACAGCATTTGTGCTTTTGTGACTGATTTATTTCACTCAGTGTAGTGTTTCCAAGATTCATTCGTGTTGTTGCATGTATAAGAATTTCTTCATTTTTGAAGGTGACATTGCCTTGTATATATACACTATCTTTTGTTGGATCAGTTCACCTATCAATGGACATTTGTGTTGTTTCTACCTTTTAGCTATTGCCAGTGAAGTTGCTAATAGTGGTATTCAAATATCTATTCAAATTCCTGCTTCTACTTCTTTTGAATATCTACCCAGATATAGAATTGCTGGATCATATGGTAATTTTATGTTTAACATTTAAGTACTATCATACTGTTTTCCACAGTGGTTGCACCATTTTGGCATTCCCATAATCAAAGCATAAATGTTTCAATTTCTCATATCCTTGCCAACACTTGTTTTCTGTTTTTTTGTTTGTTTGTTTTGATAAAAGCCACCCTAATAAATGAGAAGTGGTATCTTATTGTAGCTTTGGTTTACAATTCCCCAATGACGAGTATGGTGAACACCTTTTCTTGTGTGCAATTTAATCTTTAAAAGCCTCTAAATGTTTTTCACGGTGAAGCTAACGCTAGGTGTTAGCATTAACATTTTAAGATTCATGTGGTAAAAAAAATGTTTCCTGGGAGTAATAACACTTTTATTTTTTTAGGGAGGCAGCTTCTAACAATGAAACCATGGCAACAATTCTTCTTCAAAACCTGTTAATACAACTGGATGACCAGTTAGGTCGCGTTTCCAAAGAGAAAAACCTGCTCTTGATACACAATCTAAAAAGAATTAGAAAAGTACTTCAGGTGAGGATGCATTCTACCTTTTCAAAATATTTATATGTATAAGTCTTAAATTCAGTAACAAATAATCAAATATATATCCTTACCTCATTTTCAAACCAGATTTTAGGGTAAAAGAAATTTAAATTATCTCACCATCCACAAATTTTGTGCTTGGTTTTATTTTATCACCCATTAATTTTTCATGGAAGTTTGAATCTAAAACGAGAGGGTGTGTGTTATTTAGGTGACTCGTTTACTCAGGTGACTCGTTTACTCGTTATTACCAAGTTCAATGACACAGAACAGAGATTTAAAGACCCGCTGATCCTGGCTATTCTCTAGCCTTTCCTTGCTTTTGTCTCTTTTGTAACAATTACAGTTAGTATTATTCTCATCTGTAAGAGTCAGCATCCTAGGAGCATGAATTAATGTTAATACATTATTATTAACTTAAAGCCAAGGTTGCACTCAAATTGATTGTTTAGGCTGGAGGCATGGCTCAAGTGGTAGGGTGCCAAGCACTAGGCTTTGAGTTCAAACTCCAGTATCACCCCTGCCAAAAAAAGTTCACTTTTTGTGCTGTAAAATTCTATGGATTCTGGCAAATACATAATGTCACGATGTCCACCATTCCACCACTGTACTGAAGGTTTAATTGCCCGAAAATCTCCTGTCCTTCTGTTGTTCATCCTTCCTCCCTCCACACTGAGTGCCTGGAAATTGCTGATCTTTTTACTCTGCATAGAGTTAGCTTTTTCTATAATTGTCATACAGGTGCCCGCATATCATACGTGCAGCCTTTTCCAGACTGGCTTCTTTCTCTTAGCGATAAGCATTTAAGGTTCTCTTTATCTTTTCATGGTTTGATCGGTCTTTTCTTTTGTCACTAAATAATATTCCCTTTATGGACGGATCGTGGTTTTATTCGTGTTTGGCAATTTTTAATAAAGTTACTATTAGCATAAATTTCAACTCATTTGAGTAATTACCTAAAAGCATGATTTCTGGATTGTTATTCTTGAGGTTTCTATTGCAAGTTGAAGCAAATGAAAAGAAATAAGTATGATATAATCCAAAGTCTACTTGTTAGAAATAACCATAATAACATTTGATGGGCATTGATTGAGCCAGATATCTCTCTACATGCGTATACATGTATATAATCAGTTTGCAGCTACCATCTCCAACACTTCAAAGTCCTGGCTCTGATGTGTACATATCCAAATGGAAGGTGAGATTGGTACTGATGCCCCTATCTCTCTCTGTTTCTCTCTCTCTCTCTTTCACAAACACACACACACACACACACACATACCCCAAACTCCCAGGTCCCTTTCCTTCAAGGCTCTTATCAACCTCTGATCTCCTCTTTATTGTGTATTTCTTTCTTTTTTCCTTTGGTGGTACTAGGGTTCAAACTCAGGAGCTCACACCTGTTAAGCAGATTCTGTAATACTTGAGCTATGCTCCCAACCCACCACCCTTTTTTTTTTTTTTTGCCTTTTTAGATTGTTTTTTGAATAGGGTCTCACACTGTTGCCTGGTGGGCCTCAGACGTTGATTCTTTTACTTCTGCCTTCTGGGTAGATGGGATTATAGGTGTGTACCATCATACCTGATGATGTTTTATCAGTTTTGGCTTCTAACCACTATCTTCCTAACTCTGCCTCCCTATAATAGGTGGTATTATAGGTGTGCACAACCATGCCCAGCCCTGTTTGTCTACTTCTTGCCACAAGAATGTAATCTTCACGAAGGGAAAGATTTTGTCCCAATTACTCTTATATTGTTAGTGCCTAGAGACACGCGTTCAATAAACAATTTTTGGATAAATAAACTACATACGATTACTTGCAGCAAAAGTGGAATTATATTATATATGCTTTTGAAAACATGTTTTCCAAACAAATCCTGTTCAGGTTTAGTGAGAAAAATATGAAAGCATTAAGAGGTGGGATATATTTATCATTTCTTAAACTATATGTTTCACTTTTAGACAGTTATTTGTTTATTTCATGCTATTTACATGTGAAAACTAACATACTTAAATTTCCTTCCACCTGTTATCCCCACCTCGATTTTTGTCAGTTACGTAGTCATTCTGTTATGATTGAAAATCCATATTTCTGTAATTTTGTATATGATTAGATTCAGTGCTCACCAGAACTACTTTTATCAATACTTCTTTATTCATGAGGTTTTAAATTTTAAGTCATTTTTAACTGCTTAGATTTTTTTCAAGAAGGTCTCAATAGTGATATAATATTTGAGGACTTTTATGCTTAAGAATGTCTAGCACTTTAAAGGTCACCATGGCTGGCTGTGAAGGCATTGGGCTACCATCTGTTGACGTTGCTTTATGGATGCTGGTGATGTATTAGGCTTGTCTGAGATATTTTCTTAGAGTTAGGAGTGACATTGAAGCTCCTTCTCAACTAAGATAGAACAGGCACTGTCTGGTCAAAAAAGATGTAGGGTACAACCAGAAAAGAGTTAACCTCACTGTTGCATACCCAGTGAACATCAGTCCTGCTTGTAAAGAAAATTAAAACAGAATAACACACTCTTTCAAAAATCCACATAATACATTGGCCTTTCTTGAGTTCTGGTTCCCTGAGCTGATTACAGTAGTACTTTGTGTTGACCAGCTTGAATGTCCAAAACTTACGATCTTAGTTTCTCATCTAGAATATTCAGTTGGTATTAACCAAGGAAATCATGGAATTCAGCACCTGTCCAACCCTTGTAACATGAAGCAACAGAGAACAGTGGCTCTCGTTAGCTATCATTGACATTTTATCAATGAAGATATCTATCTTTGAAGCCTCTTAACGTTCCGTCCCTAACTCCACCTGCTATCTCTCCACTCAGAGGAAACACTGATCTGAAACATGCATTTATCAGTCTCTTCTTTTCGTTAGTTTTACCCTATATGTTTCATCCCTAAACAATATATTACAAGCTACTGAATTTCCCATAAATGAGCTCAGCAATTTGTTTTCCTCCCTCCACATAGTTCCTGGTGTAGCAGTAGTTTATTAATTTGCATTGCTCAACACTATTCTAGTATATGAATCTATCACAATTAATCCATTTTATTCTGATTGGAACTTGGGTTATTTCTTTGCTACTTCAATGTTGCTTGGAATATTCTTGTGTGTGTCTTTTGGTGCACACATGCAAGAAATTCTCTAGGCTATATACATAGGGGTGTAATTGCTGTATCCTGGATTCTGTATGTTTTAAATTGTGTTACTAATGCCAAAATTATTTTCCAAAAACCGTTATACCAATTTACACTCTGCAATAGGGTAAGATTTCTGGCTCCATGTTCTCACCCACACTTGTTAGATCACAGATCATATGCCAATCGGGTGGTATATCCATCTTATTTCTTCAGTTTACCTTTGTGTTTTGTTTCTAGCTTTATTCAAGTATTTATTTTTGCTGTTTATTTTTTATGAATGGATATAACCCTTCCCATTTTTAAGAGGGACTTTTTGTATACTTTAATTGGTAGTGCTTTTGTAGTGTATAAATAATCCATGATTCCAGCTTTGACTTCTATTTCTGGCTAGGTAAACTTAAGAACCATTCTACTATAAAATACATACAACACTAGAATATTAGGTAATTTATAACCTACTTAAATGCATAGGGAAGCTTACCAAAAACTAAGGAAAATCATAGAATAAAAAATTAAGAAAAAAATTATAGATTAGTAGCAGTAATAGCAGACATGATGATTTCCATATATTCTGAGATTCTAGAAATAAGGCATCCCAAGAATAATAAAAACAAAACAAAGCTGCAAAACAAAACCAGGGAGAAAGAGATGACCATAAAAGTCACAAGAAAACAAATATATTACTATAAAGAAATAAAAGATAGTAACAAGAAGACAGAATAATTTCTTCACAAAACTTGTATGCAAGTTGATGGATTACCTCAATTTAAAATTCTATACCCAGCTAAGTTATTCACCACAATGATACTCATAGAAAGAAGCACTAAAGGAAATTAATCACAGAAGCATGCATAAAAAAATTTCCAGTAAAAATACAGTGCAGAAGAAATAGAAAGTATAAAAGAAGATGCTAGGAAAAAAATCCAAATAACATATACTAAATGGGCAAAACTCAGTGATTACAAGTTGTGATTTTTTTATGAAGTGGGGGGAAACTTGTAAGGAAATTCCATTTATTTATTTTTCCAGGATTGGGGATTGAACCCAGGCCTCACATATGCTAGGCAAGTGCTCTGCCACTTGAGCTATGACCTCAGCCATTTTGTTTGTTTGTTTGTTTATTTATTTATTTGAGATAGGGTCTTGCTACCTTCTGCCCAGGCTGGCTTTGAACTTGTGTGCTGCCTCTGCCTCCTGAGTGGGACTGCAGGCATGCACTTACCACAATCGGCCTCCATCAATGGTTTTTTTTTTTGAGTGCCATGCTGCTGTAGTCTTTTCTATTATTGTAGATTTATAACCGCTACTGAATTTCTATAATTTTTTTGCTTTATATATTTTGATATTGTGTTATGAGGAGTAGAGATTCAAGATAATACCTTATTGGTAAGTTGAGCTTTTAAAAAATGAATAACAATATACTTCTTTGACCCATTTATTATTTCTCATCTTAAGTTGTTATTGTGTATTTTTCTTTTCATTATTATTTGCTGACTGGTAAATGAATCCATCTCTTCATTTTGTACTTTCTATGTCATTTCATAAAATATTATATAGAAAAAACTTTATTTAGTCAAAAATATTTAATAAGTATCTACTATGTTATCAGTCACATTTTAAGTACTGGGAATACAATTTTTTACTATAAAGCTTATATTCTAAAAAGTTCACATTTCCTGGGTTTGGTTTTTAGATTCCACAAAATTTATGACTATTACTCAAAAGTTAATATTAGCAAAGTGTGGGGAATTAGGTGTCAGCAATTTTGTCTGATAATAGAAAAAAAATTCTCTCAATTAGAAGACTTTGGTTCAGAGTTTTGGTGTTAACTCTG